AAACGATTGGTTTAAGGATATAAAACTGCAGTTGGACAAGAGGCATGGACTCTGTGATGTCTTGAGGTCTACTGAGAGCATGATAAATATGGTTGATAACAATATGCTATATTTTAAAAGTTGTGAGATAGTATACTTTAAGTGTTCTCAAAACAAAAATGATGAATATGTGTGATATAACATGTTAATTGGTTTAATTTAGCCATGCCATTGTGAACATACTGTATTATGTACCATAATCGTGCATGACTTTATTTATGAGCTAAATAAATGAATGGAAAAAGTTTTTTTAAAAAGATTTTATTTATTTATTATGTATACAACATTCTGCTTCCATGTATATCTGCACACTAGAAGAGGGCACCAGATCTTATAAGGGATGGTTGTGAGCCACCATGTGGTTGCTGGGAATTGAACTCAGGACCTCTGAAAGAGCAGTCAGTGCTCTTAATCTCTGAGCCATCTCTCCAGCCCGAAAAAAAGTTTTTGATTTGGGATTATGTCCATGCTTTGATATAGTTCATAAGTTACACAGAATTTCTGTGATCCATTCTATTCCCACCCTCTCACACCCCCTCCTCTCTTCATGTACACTATACCTCTTCTCCAGCTCCAGTCCTCCCTCATTAGAGGACTTTGTTGACCGAGTCTTTGAGAAAAACTAAGTCAAGTAGACCCTCCCCTGTTACTATAATAATAAACTGAATTGTTAGAGTATAATAATAAAACTCTTACAGAAGGCATACAAATAAATACCTGTGACTTTGAATTAGGACATGGTTTCAATGTAACCTCATAATTCACAAATGGAAGAAAGATAAAAAGAACTTCATTCCGAAATTTTTGTTGGGGGCTGAGAAGAAGACTTGGTGGGTGTATAAACATGAGGACCTGAGTTCCAATCTCTGGTACCCATGTAGAAAGCCGGGTGTGACTGCACATCTGTAACCCCAGTGCTGGGGTGTATAGGAGAACTGTTTGGGGCTTGCTGACTTAGCTCCAGGTTCAGTGAGAGACCTGTCTCAAGAAGTGAGAGAGTGCAGTGGAACCCACGGAGCCACTGATCTCTGTCTTACCTACTTAGGTCATTGCCATGCCTGACACAAAGCTGGTAACCGGTATATGTTTACTTAATGAATAAATTCTTGTCCTGATTTTGCTGAGCATTGTAATATTTAATAAACATATAATTAATCACTTAACAAATACATATTACTCATTGCCCTAATGTTATACCTTTAATTTACCAATGTCTGACTGTGCTGGCTGGTTTTATGTCAACTTGACACAAGCTATTAGAATTATCTGAAACGAAGGAAGCCTCAGTGGAGAAAATGCCTCTGTAAGATCTGGCTATAGAGCATTTTCTCAATTAGTGATCAATGGGAGAGGGCCCAGCCCATTGTGGGTGGTGCCATTCCTGGACTGGTGGTCCTGGGTTCTGTAAGAAAGCAGGCTGAGCAAGTCATGGAAAGCAAGCCAGTAAGCAGCATCCCTCCATGGCCTGTGCATCAGCTCCTGCCTCCAGGTCCCTGCCCTGTTTGAGTTCCTGTCCTGACTTCTTTCAATGATGAACACCCATGTGGAAGTGTAAGCCTAATAAACCCTTTCCTCCCCAACTTTTTTTTTTTGTTTATGGTGTTTCATATAGCAACAGAAACCCTATGACACTGACAAACATTGCTGGAACAAAGATTCTGGGAATGTACTACGATTAATAATTGCAGAGGTCAGGAATGTCAGATTCTCCAAATACTTAACCCTGCTGGTCACAACATTTCTAGAGAGCAGCCGGCCACCATGAAGGTAGCTGAAGTAGAGGGAAGCCTGGTCATTGGAACCCTGCTGTTTAGTTCCCAATTCCCTCCCCGAGGTCAGCTCTGAAGGCCACAGAGCTCCTCCCAATCCTGTTTCTCAATATGCCCTGTGCCTTGGTGTTGGCACAACATCCCACATGGAGCAGGCTTTCCAGAGAGCCACACACTGTGGGCTGTTCCACCTGGCCTCATGGAAGGAGACATCCGTCTGGCCAAGGTCCAATGGGAGGGAATCTATGGACAGAGGCCAAGAACTATGGGTGGGGAGGTGGTAGCAGGTCCTGTCATCCTTGTCCTTCTATTCCACTGAGGGGGAGGCCACACCCCCTTATCCCAGCACCTTAGGAGGTCAACTTAGGCAGCTCTTTAGGGTGCTGGATTAGGTTCTTCCTTGCAAGTCTCTCTGTATGTTCAATGTGGCACGTGTGGACCCTTTTGTGTGGAGGTCAGAGGTCAATGTCAGGTGTCCTTGATTGTTCTCCACCTTCTCCTTGAGGTAGTCTCTTGAAATCTGGAGGCTGACCAAGGCAGCTAGACTGACTGGCTATGAAGCCCTAGAACCCCCCCTGTCTCTCCCTTCCCTCTCTTCCCAGGGCTAGGATTACAGGCTTGGGCTGCAGAGAGCAGCTTTCTAAGATGCAGAGCAAATACTTTATGGGCTCTCCAGCTCTCTCACTGATCCCTTAGAGAAGTTTCTAAGACACCTTTTAGAATTGCTGCAGTCACCTGCAAGCATCTTTCTAATGGGAGCAACTTCTCTCTAATGTAGTTTAGCAGAATGGCACCCTGGTCCACGGTTGCGGTACAGTGCGATGGACCACTGCATCTCTCCCTTTAGCACACCTGAGGGGGTAAAAAGATGTCAGGATTCTTGCCAAGTCGGGGCTTCTGCACAGGCATGGATGAAATCATGATAGTCTGGTTAAGAGGTGAGAAGGGGCCAAGATGTGCTGTCTCCACAGTTCAGGAGTGTCATTTTGGAAGATGGGAACTGTGATAACAGGGAAGTTTGGATGTAGATGTTAGAAAGAAACCCACATATGACTGTAATCCCAGCACTCAGGAGGCTGAGGTAGGAGGGTTGCGTAGAGTTCAAGACCAGCTAGAGTACAGAGGAAAATCTTGTCTCAAAAACAAGTAAACAGAAAAATAAAATCTGAAAAAAAAAACAAACAAACAAAGCTGGCCGTTGGTGGCGCAAGCCTTTAATCCCAGCACTCGGAAGCTGAAGCAGGCGCATCTCTGTGAGTTCAAAGCCAGCCTGGTCTACGGAGAGAGTGCCAGGATAGGCTCCAAAGTCACAGTGAAGCCCTGTCTCAAAAAACAAAAAACAAAAAAATTGCAAAATTGACATTTATAAAAGGAAAGAGGAGCCGGGTGTTGGTGGCACATACCTTTAGTCCCAGCACCCGAGAGGCAGAGGCAGGCGGATCTCTGTGAGTTCGAGGCAAGCCTGGTCTACAGGCTCTAAAGCAATACAGAGAAACCCTGTCTCAAAAAACACAAAAAACAAAAACAAGTAAAACAAAAACAAAAATCCCACAAAATAAAATAAAGAAAACAAATTCCTGATTTTTTTTTTTTTTTTTTTTTGTGAAAGAGAGCTAGAGATACAGCTCAGAGGTGGAATGCTCTTACTTAGCACACATGAAGTTCTAGGTTTGATTACAAGTACAAAGGGAAGGGAGGGAAGAGAGGGAAGGAAGGAGGAAGGGAGGGAGGGAGGGAGGGAGATTGAAGTCATGGAACATCAACAGTTTTCTTATTCTCTGCTGCGGTGTGGATAGGTGGCTGTTTAAAGCACACC